AAGCGCGCAGGCATTGAGAGGAGGCCAACCGCGCCAATGTGTTTGGTAGAGCCTCTGACAAGTCGTACACACGGAGGCCTGCGTGTGTGAGCAACCTCATTGATGTCTTGGATAGGTCAATCACAGGTCGGTGGAAGTACATAGTCTCCTCAAGAACACCTGGCAGCTTCCCGTCCTGGTACGTCGCCAACACCATCAACCAGCTGACGGACATCGTATGGAAAGGAGGCCTGTTCCGCAAGTACTGCCAGGCTGGCTGCGACTTTTGGCACCCCCTCCTGCGCTACGTCAGCGCTTTGTGCAAGGCTGCCCCGTCACGAGGACTAGAATTTTTCCCGCGTGCCACTCAGTTTGTCCGTTATTTGCGAGGCAGCGCGCGCCCTTCTAGCAGAGTGGCCGCCCGCCGCCGCTGGAAAGAATGGTGCGCTGAAGCGCTAGGAGGAGAGGCCAGGGTGGCCCGCGAGTTTTTGAAGGGTAAGCCCGGTCATCGGCCCGAACCCGCAGGGCAGGCCTCTGGGGCCCCGCTTGTTTTAGCTTCGCTTTCAGTCCAGGTCCGTCTGAAAGCCCAGGGGGAAGATTGGAGGCGGGCCTGGCGAGCGAGTTGCGGTCCACCGCAGGGCCTTGCTTCAGTCGAGCATATTAGAGCGTGTTCCAGGAAGTTCAAGACTGCCGCCCGTCGACCAGACGACGGGCGCCATCCGAAGCATTACAGCCTGCTGCACGATTGAGCTTGATTATTTGTCTCGCTCTTGCTGCATGTGATCAGCGTGGTGGATAATTCTCAACCAGCGCGAGGCGCATAGATGTCTCCCTGGCGCCCAGGGAAGGAGAGGGGCATGTCAGGAGGCCCATCGGCTATTATAAATCGTTCCCCAGGCTGTTCGGGGCGGCGCAGAAACGCGGAACCTGGTCGTGGGAGTGGGAGTTCGCTATGGGGGGGGGGGTACCTGCTACTCAGAAGCGCGCGCCATCCGATTCGGTCTGGAGGGCTTTTGTTCGTGTGAAATGGGCCTCGGAGAAGACGCGCCACATCCTTCGCCTTCTGTGGCGCACAGAGAAATTTTATGAGCGCGTGCCTAGGGATAAGCTTCGAGTATTTGCCGAGTTGTCTAACTACCGCCTCGACTTGTTCGACGTCGACGTCGCCTCGCATGGGCGGGCCCGCTCGCTACTTTACGACGGCGTAATCTCTGGCGACCTCTGGCCATCCAGAGGCATAGTGGCGGGCAGCAGCGCGACCACTTTTGAAGCCAAGTTTTACCTTGAGCCAAGAATGGGGCAGCGCGCGCTTCCCGCCCGGACAAACATTTCAAATTTTGCACATCGATGACCTCTTCCTCCAAGTTTTTTTTGGGGGGGTCGACCCGATGGGCCCGCGGCGCCTTTACTGTCTGGCCGCCAGCATGTCTAGGTACCTCCAGGACAACCTCCACCTCTCAATGGCAATTGAGAAGTTTGGCGTGACGGCCGCCAGCCCCCAGCTCCTGCGCGTATAGTCCCTCGCCTCGGGATCGATTTTACTGGAGGCCCGTCGGGGCCAGTCGATTTCGCAGGTCCCAAGCAAGCGTTTTCGGAAGTTGCACCGGCGTCGGAAGAAGCTGCAGGCCCTCCATATTAAAAGCAAGCCTCGGGGCCGCCTGTTCCAATCCGGTTGAAAACATGCCCTTGTCTACTGGGGGGGGTCGTCGGATTTTCCCCGCGCCAGGTGAAGCGGCTGCGTCCGGCAGCTGGTCGGAGCAGTGGCCGAGCTATTCGAGGGGGTGCGGCTGACCTGGCCCGGGCCTGCTCGGGGGCGGGGGGCCCGCTGGATGTCGCGGCCGTGCCGCGGGGGAGATATGCAGGATAATGGCGGGTGTTATCGGCGTGCCTTGGCCATGGCGAGCCGCGCGTGCACGAAGGCACTTTGTCCTTGTCTGCAAGTGTCCGTAGCCATGCGTTTCACTCTGCGCTGCGCTCTATTTTAGAAACCCCCACAAAGAGGTGGTTCGTCATAAGTAAGGGTCCGATTTCGGATGCGATTCTGTGGTTGCTCGAAGCGGGGTGAGGTTTCCAAGGGCCTGCTAGCTTCCGAGATTGTCGAGGGTTTGACATAATCCTCACCGCTCACAGCCCGGCGTATGTGCGTGATCTTTTTGTCGGCCAGCTGCGCAGCGCGCTGATCCGACGAGCGATGGAAAAGAATTGATGTCCTTCTGGGCCCGGATGTTCTGGCATCCAATCCTGAGGGCTCTGGTGGAAATTCACTCGCAAGGCTCTTGTCTCCCGCCGCCTGGAGCTCAGCGCTCGTTCCGTCGGGTGTTTTGTGATTGTTTGCCCGCCAGAGTGGCTTCGCAGCTGGGGGTTCCAGCTAGAAGAGAGCTGCGTTTGCAGCGGCCGCCCCGAGACGGTGCGGCGCCGAGTCTGGGCGCGCAGCCGCCGTCGGTCCGCGCGTGAGAATGGGCGAGGCCCTATGGCCCGACGAGCCCCTGAGGCTGGGCGTGGGCATCCCTGTTCGCGTTTGGATGGGCGGCATGTCGTGGTCTGACCACCCCAGACTCCAGTGGCACGTCGAACTTTTTCGACGAAAACGGCGATTCGGTCGAACCTTTTTTTCCCCTCCAGGGGCCCGTCTGTCTGCCGATGGGAGCTGCAGCCGCCCTCGTTTTGTGTGGACCCCGGTCCGTGCAGGTTGTGTCGTTATCCAGATAGACGACGACGGCAGCCTGATTCAACTTTTGTGCGCTGGCTTAATGTTCACTCACTCCCAAACGGCGACATCGGGGGAACATGCTGGAGCGGTTGGGGCATGTGTATTCAGCGGAGATGGCATGGAGACATCCGAGCTCCACGTCGATTGCCAGGCGCTGTTAGGCCGCCTTGCCAAGGTTCCTGGTCAAGTGCAGTCCGGGTCATTTTTGGAGGGCCATGAGTCGTGTGACTGGTTCGGATCGTGCCGTTCGTTTCGTGCGTGGGAAAGCCCGCAGAGATTAGCCCCGGGCTGTCGACGACAATGATGCCTTATTTATTGCAGGCGACAGGCTTGCAGACCATCGCGCCAGCAGGGCTGCGCATGACAACTCGTTGTCGGTTATTGAGTTGGAGACCATTCAGCTTGCCCTCGAGGACTATCCCAAGCTGGCGAGGGGCATGGCCAAATGCCTTGCCGACTGGCCGACTGTTCAGGATCAATTCGGTGAGATTTGTCGTAGTGCGGGTGGGCGTAAGCCCAAGGTGCCCCCTCCCCCTCCCCACGAGTTTGTTTGGTGGAGCTCGGCGTCAAAATGGCGGTGCAGACGCTGTTTGAGGCGCGTGGGCCCAGGGGCCTGGATGGGATCCTTGGCGCTCAACCCTACCCTTACGGACCCAGTGTTGGCAGACACCCACCCGGGACATTCGTTTCAGGTGAGCTGGATCACTGGCCCAGACATGCCTGTGATTTTGTGCCACAGGTGCGGGGGTTTCGCAACCGCGAAGGTGGGCGCCAGGCTCGCGGGCCCCTTGTAGGCCCCAGGCCAGGTGCTCCGAGCGACAGAAGCTGCTCAAAGGCCGCCTGCCTGGCACGTTTCGATCCTGCTGCTCGGACCGCCCCAGCCGCTTTCTTCTCTCGGGAGGGGGAGGCGGGTGGGGGCGGCGAGAGCGACTGACTGTCTAGTGCTCTCTCCCTTCTTCCGGAGTCTTTCGGCTCCGTTTTTCAAATGTAACTTGTGTACACATGAGACTTCAGTAGTGGTTGTAAGTGTAGCCGAAGAGGAGGAGGAGGAGAAGGAGGGGGGGGAGGGGTGGGAGGAGGATGGGGGAGGGGAAGAGCAGGAGGAGGAGGACGAGGAGGAGGAGGAGGAGGAACAGGAAGAGGAGGAGGAGGAGGAGGACGAGGAGGAGGAGGAGGAGGAGGAGGAGCAGGAGGAAGAGGCTCAGGAGGAGGAGCAGGAGGAAGAGGAGGAGGAGGAGGAGCAGGAGGAGGAGGAGGAGGAGGAAGAGTAGGAGTAGGAGCCGTGGGGCGCCGTGTCCCGCCCTACGCCTACGAGGAGGCACCGCCGCCCGCGGCCCTTCCCGAGGGCCTCGACCTCGAGGCCGTCCCAGCGAAGGTTCTCTGTGCCAGCGCGACGGCCTTGGGGGCACCTTGGGGGCACGGGTGGTGGCCTCTGGAGATTCGGGAAAGGTTCTCTTTACCCTTCCTCGTGAGCTGGCAGACCTGATTGAAATGACGGAAATCCGTGGACGCAGTTTTGCCACAAACTGAACAGAAGAACAGGGGAAACTTGAACTATTTGTGCATCACATGTGACCCATGGATCTGCACCTTGCCAGAAAAGATAGGCCCCTGGACCGCCGCCACGCCCGAGGGGAAAGGCCCCCCCTCCAGGAACGCAGGGGGTGCGGGCGGCTTCCAAAACCTGGGCCGAGGGAGCGATTCGGCGGCACACCGTGCAGGCCCATCTACCGTGGATCCGAGTCCACGAGTGGGGGGTGCGTGCAAGGGTGAGCTGGAGGCGAGACTGAGCAGGAGGGCGGGCACGCTCGACACGCTTCGAATTCCACGGGTCGCGGGAAATCGATTCCGTAAGCGCACGACGGGCCCGACGCCTCACAAGCGCCGCGACCGCGTCCCACTCGTCGGTGCGAGGAGCATGGTCGGTCATGCATCGGCTCGACCGCCCAGCATCAGCCCCAGCCTCCTTATCAGCACAAATGTTCCCCGCAGCAACATACTGGAGGCCCTCATTCACTTTGCGATCTGGGTCCTCATCAAGGTGGCTCGGGACCCAGGCAACCTCAATGTCACTACTACTGCTGCCTCGCTTGATCAACGCCTGCTTCGCGCGGGCCCAGAGATCTCCATTACAGCCTATACATGAGGTGTGACGGCCAGCGCACCAACCATCCAACAGAGATCTGCAATCTGTGCGAAAAAGAATGTTTCCTGTCGGGCTCGCAAGGCGCAGGACGAGAGCGAGCAGCTCAGCTCTAGGTGCAGTTTGCCTGCGCCCGCGGGGCCCGCCAGAGACGATGGCGGCGGGCACCCGCGACTCTCCCGTCAAGCCGAAGTGCGACCGCGGCAGCTCCGATACTGCGCCGCCGAGGGTCGTCAGTGTGCGGGCCACCCGAGCCGTCGCCGAAAACGTCGAGCACCTCCTCGCCCTCGACCCTGCAACTGTCGAACGGCTCCCCCTGGTGCTCGACCCAGCCCGCCTGGCACTCGTCGAAGATGGGCGTTGTGAGGTCTGACGGGCAGACGGGGTCTTGCTCCCGGCCCGCCCTCGCGCGCACCACCAAACATTCACTGGCGTCAAAATCTGCATGGCCCGTGTTGCACGGACAGCTCCAAATTCGATGAAATAGTGTTTCCTTCTCGGTGCCACAACGCTGGCAGGTCACCTCGGAGTCGTAACCGGCCTGCTGCTGGCGCTCCCTCGTCCACTGGCCCCCGCTGGCGATGACGACCGTCTGCGCCCACAGGTCGAGCGCCCCCGCAACCGTGGACCGCCTCAACTCCCGCTGCGCGCGCGTCGTGTCGGCACCGTTGCCGAGGCTGTCGCCTGCGGGGTGCAGAGCAGCCCTCTGCCACATGCGCCTCGCGAAGTCCTCCATGAGGTTGTCCAGGAGCTCGGGCGCGTCGGCGACGGTGTAGCACTCCGTGTCGGGGCCAGGGATGACCCACTCGTCGACCGTGTTAGGCCCAGTGGGGCGGACCCAGCGCTGGGGCGACTCGGGCCGCCACTCGGTGTCCAGGAGCACCGCGATCACCGCAGCAGCAGGCCCGCGGACGCGCCGCCAGCGATGCGGCCCTGCCTGAGACAGGGCCATGAGGAGGCGGGGCCAGGCGCGACGAACTCGACCGTGAACCCCAGGCCGTGTGCGCCAGAGCTCGAGCCACTGGCTGACAACTTGCCTCCGAAGCTCCAGCCCTGGGTCGCGCTCGCCATGCAAGGCCGCCAATTTCGACGTGGGGCGCATGCCAGGCCCCTTGCCGACAGCTGAGGAAGGCGCTAGGCCAGCAACCTGGTGGCCGTGCGTCGCCTGAGGTTGAGCCCCCGTCTCGTCCACAGCATCTTCGTGATCTCGGCCATGCGGACCTCCTTGCGCATGCGGGGGACCCTGCCGAGCCGACGCCTGGCAGCCTGGAAGCGCCTCTGGGCCCGCTTCCTGCACCGACGGCGCCCGCAAGCCGTGTCGACGCCGAGGTCCGCCGCATGCGCCGCGTAGGAGGCGGGCACGCCGAGCCGTGCCAAACCCCCCAGCAATGGACCGCCCCATCGGGGGGTGCGAGCACGCCAGCACAGTCTTGGTGGAGACTTCGAAGCCAGCCTCGTCGAGCCCCTGCTTGAGCGCCACCGCGGCCTTGTACATGTCGGCCTTGACTGTTTTCCTCGTGCCAACTGAGCGGGTGGCCGTGTCGTCGATGAACGCCCACAGCTGAGCACGCTCGCAAGCGCGATGCGCGCGAGCAATCACTGGTCCTAGCATGACCTTTGCCAGCTTCCCGCCATGGGCTGACCCCGCCACAACTGACCGCTCGGGCTGCAGCCGTCGCCCAAGCCAGGCGCGCTGGCGCAAATGGCGGGGCCCTGCGTACAGCTGCACCTCCATCGCGGCAGCGATCGCGGGGAAGCCTTGCTGGGTGGCAGCCGCGAGCAATCGCACGAAGGAAACTGAATCGCATAAGTTCTTGATTTTGAGGAGGAGGGTCGCGGTGAACCACCCGTTCTCCACGTCGCACTCGTCCATGCAGGCGCGGCGCGCCGCGGCCCGCAGGGCAGACGATCCGCGCGCCGCGGTGTCCCGCCACCTGGCCTGGGCGTCACTCCACTCGTCGCTGGAAGCAGCACGAACCTTCGCCCATGCCTTGCAGGTGGTTGGCAGCATGCCGATGATGCGGCCCCCTCCATCACGCTTGGGAATGGCGGCACCTATGACCGCCGAAAGCTGCCGCGGCCAAGCCCCCGCGGCCTCGCACTCATTGGGGGGCGGGGCGAGGCCGTCGAAGCCGTCTTCGGGCATGCGCTGCAAGTCGGCGGGGCTCACGTTGTCGACGCCGCGCGCCCTGCCCGAGCTCATGCGGCGCAAGGCCGCCCGCATCTGGTCGGGCGTGATCGGCTCCAGCCTCTCGTCAGCAGCGCGTCGGAGAGTATCGTTGAGGGCCTCGACCAGGCCGGCCTCGTCATGAGTCGGGTTCTTCCACACCCGCTGCCAGAACAGGGTCTTCTGCTCCAGGATGGTGTCGGGCTGGGCGATGGACCTCGCCGCGACGTCCCCGTCGGCGTCCCTGACGAGGCTGTGAATCTCCAGCTGCTCGGCCGCGGGCTCCTTGACATGTCGGTGGGCGATGCCAGGCCTCCGCTGCCGCGCCTCATTGGCCCAGCGAACGTACCCGATGCGAGCACGGTGGAGGCTGCGGCCGAGGAGGCGGTGTCACCACTGCTCAGTGCACGCAAGCAGCCTTCGTACATCATCCAACCTCGGCATTTCCTGCTGCAAGAAAATGTCAGCGCGAAAGCGCCAGTCCCTCGCGTCCGCCTGCAA